AGGACTGGCCTAGGGGTAATTTTAAATTGGTTTTAATTAAATTTTAAATTTTATAGTGCGGCCGATTCGAATATTTATTTTTAATTTATCTTAGATTTGTATTTTGTGTAATTGTTTTAACTGGCTGTAAGCCGCCCTGAGTCCTCCGGGAGAAGGGCGGGGTATAAATGAAATAAATCTAAATCTAAATCTAAATCTACTTTCCCCAGAAAAAAATGGAGATTTTAGATATTCAAATAACAACAAAATACCTGTGCCAGCCTTTCTTAGCCAGTTGCTCTCACATATTTTGAGGTTCCAATTTTAAGAATTCCTCATCAGCAGATCAAACACCTAGCTGGAAACTGTAATTCCAATATTAGGAAGCTAACAAGCTTCAGACAACAGATCTGTAACTAAGTGGTCTGGGATTCTTTTTCTGCCCCCATAAATTGTAATCCTGAGAATGTAACACTAGGGGGTGAAAGTCTTCTGTATAATTGTCCTTTAGTGCAAAATGGGACATCTTGAGTATCTGTACAATGCCTTCTGTAATTCAAGTTTGAGTTGTGCTCTTTAAAAGTAGAATATTATTGCCTGCCTGAATTGTTTGGAAACTGATGTGTTTTGATCTTAACAGGAGAATTGTTACTAATGGCATCAGAGTATCCCAGCAGACCTTGTAAATGACAGATTATTTAAAACATGGTGTTCTCTCTTTATGGATGTGGACTTGCTTTCTTGATAGCTTCCTGCTGATACTGCACTTCAGATTAACTTATGGGGAGTTGGTGGTACAGAATTTGGATTTGAACATAGCTGAAGAATTTAGTTGTTTCCTCTCCCCCACCCCTGATGGACAAACACAACTCTCTGTAATGCTTTGCAAGTGGGCTGTTTTATGATAAAGATCATTTCTGAAAAATTCAGTGAGCTTGGAAATTATCAGAAAATTTGTAAATTAATGTATTAAAAAGGAGACTTCTGCAGTGTGAAAGTTGGTTTGACTGCATTATGACAGGAACATGTTGGCCTTAGAGACAAGCAAAAAAATTGCCAGCTTGCGGGGGGGGGGGAATGCTTGCCTCTAAATTCTTATGCTTAACATAGAAGACAACAAGGTCTCTTCTCTGGGACTTTGCTCCTTTGAAAAGGTTTCCTCCTAAAGCTAGGGCACATTGTGTTTTCTCTAACTTGCTTTGGATTTGAATTCCATCCATCTTAGCAATATGGTCATGTTATGAAACTGCAGTATGGAAATTGTAATCCAAACTATATGTGTTGTTTTAACCACATTCTTTTGCCTGCCTACTCACACAACTGAATGCAATTCTTTGGATCCTTGAGGTACTACACAAAAAGAAAGCAGATTCACATGGTAATTTGTTAAAAAATATAGTGTCATTGACTTCTGTAGAATGCATTATTTGGAATACTTTATTAAATTTCTATGCTAATTGGTAAAACAACAACCCTGGGCCACTTTAACAAGCCAGGAAAAGCACAGATCTCAGGTAGCTGAGCTCACAGTCCCAAGGAACATGTTTACTTCCTCAGGTCCAAAAAGTTCAAACCATTTCCAAATGACTGGGCAAGACTCCTCCTTAAGCATCTCTTCCAGTCTGAAATAAGGCTGGCATCCAACTCTGAGTGCCTCAAATTGGATATTGTGTCATTATTACATCACATTTCTCAAGTGTTCTGAAATTTTGAACTTACACTACTCTACTACAAGCAGAAAGTAGTTCAAAAGTTTGTCATTCTGCTTTGAATTTAACAAGTGCGCAAAGTGTTTCCTTTTGTTTGAAGGACAGATTTAAAAGTTGTCTCTGCTAACATGTACTAATCAGGAACACCCCAATATCAGGGAGACGGTAACTGCCTTTGAGGCTGGATCTTGAGAATGGACCCTCATAAGCAAGGGATGTATTTCACTAATACACCAACAATTACTTAAAAGCAGCTGTTGCAATAACTAGACTCACCCTGGGAAATATGGGGAAAACTAACCCTTCAAATATTCTGAAATAATTTACTAGCTGAGGCAGAATAGAGAGGAATGCTGACCTATCTTGATTTTGACAGTGTCAGTGTACGTCTTTTGAATCAGTATAGCATGTGATGTAAGTGCATCACACTCTTTGCTCATGTTCAGCTTGTGATCTACTAAGCTATTGTGAGAAGTCAATCCCCCCAGAGAAGGAAATATTAAAAGGGCAGAATATTATATTTCCTCAAAGGATCTTAAAGAGGCAGAAAAGCATGCCCAGTTTTTCTTAATAGCCCCAAGTCTCCCTCCCCCAAGCAGAAACCAGCTCTGTAGAAATGCAGATGTAAATAATCCAGGAAGGTTGGAGGCCCCCAGCTAGAAGCTTAGGAAGACAAAGACACCTAAAATATATATACCCCACCCAAACTCTAAGACATAATAGGATTAACCTACAGATGCCACAGGGGCACACTCAAACTCAGGTCAAAATACATGACACAGGAAATACAAAGCCTCAAACAGGAACAGGAAACAACCTCAAGAGCCCAGAGGGTATAAAAACCCACTTCCTACATGTGCTCTCTCTCTCTTTTCTTCCAGAGCCATCTTTCTGTCTGGCTCTCCTCTTCAATAAACTGAAACCTTCTTTCTAAAGCAGTCGCCATGTTGTTTATTCCTGGCTTGGACTGAACCATGATGAAGACTTTTCCTTCAACACTATTTAGATCCTTTCTGCATTTACATCTTTCCAATTTAAACCTTTAATTTTTCTTACCCAAATATAAAAATGTTCATACATTATTCTTTCCTTTCAAGCTGTAAGCTCTCCAGAGTCAATGGGAAGCAGGAGGCCTCTAAACTCAATAAAACAGGTAAAATAAAAATAGGCAAGAGGGAGGCTAATTAACAGACACTTAGGATCTATATAATTATAATTATATCATGATCATCCAGAGTTTTTTTTTCCAACTTTAGTATCCATTAACCACTTCATTAGGTACTTTGTCATAGAAGCGATAAAAGAATCTAATGTTCATTTCCCATCATCTAAAATCTTGGAAAGTTTAAGGAAACAGGAGAATCCACCTCCAGCAATAGAACTGTGTTGATATTAGATCCAGTCCCTGTTCAAGTTTAGCTTGGGGAAAAAGACTTACTTAATGTAATTTTTTATATGGCTGTTTGGATTTACAAATGAAGTATTTTATTTCACTGTAGTTCTGCCATTTCAAACAGGCAGATGAAACCTGCAGACCTGAATTTATTAAATCAGATTAGTTTGTATATTACAGTAAACCAGGGCTGACTTAACCATGAGTAAAATGAATAATTGGCTGGGAGCATAAAATATGCTGTGTCATAAATCATATAAATTATATTATGGTTTAGCACAGTCATTGTAACCTAAATAATAGTAAGTGTAAGTCATCCACGTGAAAATTGGCATTTTTTTCATATATATATTAATAAGATGAAAGGTGGAGATGGAGGTTAAAGATATGAAAGTTCTCCTTATCCTTCTGGGTCTGCTTTTCCTTCTTGAATGAAATGCCCCCTATTGTCTGGAGTGGGTTGAATAATGAATCTTCCCATTGAGTGTAAGAGAAATCTATTTCCCGCTACAGGGATTACTGCCAGCCATGGCCATTGTGCTGCTAAGTATCCCTGGGCAATGTGCACTAAGGGCAGAGGTCCCAAGACTTGGCATTTGAGCTTCGGCGAGCAATTACAATAACATCACATTTACGTTATGTTTTTACAAAGACAAGCATTCACTGTGTAAGGGTATACAACTTCAGATGGAAAATTAAAAACAAAACAAACACGTCTAACCAATGGAAACTAATTTGAATTAGGGCCAGCTATTTGCTAGTTTAGTATGTATGTAAATCCTCATTCTGACTTTTTGACCACTGGAGCTAAAAAGAAGCAAGTATCAGGGAGTGGTGTTCCCAGCGTTGATCAGTGGTTAACTGTTTTTGAATTGTATCTCCCAGAGAAGCTTGTCCACAATCTCAGAGTAGAGGCAATAAGACAGTTTTAGGTAGTTGTTTAATATCATTGTTCTGGCATACAACCATTTTCCATAATTAAATGCTGTCCAGATATATTGATCTTCAATGCGCATCATTTTAAGCTGGTTATACCAGTCTTCTCTAATCTGGTGCCTGCTGGAGATGTGAGAAATTCAAATAAAATACAACTAGAGAACACCAGGTTAAGGAAGAGTGATATAAAGACATCAATATATATTAACCATTGCATGAATATGGACATTTGCTTATCTAATAAGATAAGTGGTCTTCAGTGTTCACTAGAATGAATTGGACTTCAGCATTTGCATTTCAGCATCAGCTGAAGCAACAGTGTCCACATTTCTCTGTTCAGTATGTGGCAGAACATTTCGTGCTAACATCGGTCTAATCAGCCATCTACGGACACACCGTTGATGGCCCACAATCCACAAGATGTCAAGGTCTTCATCGAAATCGATGGACGAACAACAGAATGAATTGGACACATTTTATCAGAGGAGCCAAATGTAAAGTGTCTCTCCCTTAAACAACATGGTAAGACGTAACTACAGAAACCCATACCACATCAATTGCCACTTAGGCCAATAAATGTGCGAGATGTTGAAGTTCCTAGACATCTGATGACAAGTGGGCTATAAGACTGAGGACTGTTGGCTGAGAACCAGGGTCAATAGCTGTGGAACTACTGGAAGAAAAGTTGCTTATCAGTTGCAAATATACAAACACTGAAAACAAAGAAATATCAGCAGCATAAGCCCTTCCTATAATTATTCTGCAGGAATTACCAGAATGAATTAGATGGTCAGAACTACCAACGTTCATACCATTTATAGATAGGACAAGGCATTACACATTTTTGGCAGAACAAGTTGGATCCCAAAGGGAGAGCAACCTGTGCAGTTACAGTCTGTCTGAACAGGAGGCAGGCATCTGCCTTTGCTTCCTTCTTAGGATATTAGACAAGCAATGGGTGAGTGGGTGGAGTAGAGTGGGGTGTTCCTTGCTGGCTGAATAACTGTTTTTATGCCCAGCAAAATGGTAACCAAAGCAACTGTATTTAGGACTAGGCAACCATCCGTTTTGAATTAACTAAGAGAAGCATCTCTCTCTCTCTCTGGACGAAATTAAACATTCTTCAAATGTAACAGAGTATTTCATCTCTTTCTCCCTTTAATGATAAAGTTGTGTTACTCTAAAAAAGACAGAATAAGAACAGCAATTGTAAGAAAGATAGTGGAACAGAATGTTCCTAAGTCTGGCTTTCTTTAGTAGGTGATTAGAAGTTTATTGATGTTTTGCAATAATTTAATGTATTTAAAATAACTGGATTGAGCTAGGATGCTATTTGAGCCTGTTTTAATTAAGGGTTGTGTTAGTGTCCCTGTACTGGTATGTTTTATTCTTTCCTTTCTTACTATGCTTAAACAGTGAATAAGAAACTTTTGTTAGCTGTCCAGCCATGAATTGCAATGGGGTCTAGGCATGCTGCCCTTGAAGATGACTTATTAGCTACAACTGGTACAAAATGTAGTAACCAAGCTGCTATCAGTGAAAATGGATTATTGCAGAATACAGACTCAAAGAGGTTTACAACTTATAGATTCTGTAAAAACAAACATTAAAGTCCCCCCCCAAAGTCATCTAAGCAACCCTGGCAAGAGAGCACTTCCTTCATAATTAACACCTCAAATGCCCTGCAAAGGAACAGTATATTGCTGTCCTAAAATGACAGCAAGGGAGGAATCAAGATGTTCCACACAAGAGGTACATAACATAAAAAATTATTTACTTTTGCCCTCTCTTATTTCATTTGAGGGCTGAATTCATTGGATGGGATGCTTCTCCTGAAACAGGCAGGCTTGTAGATATCTATATGCCAAGTCATAAATGTTCTATAAATTATAACCAACACTTTGAATTGTACTTAGACACCTATTGGTGACTTAGCACTTCTGGCGTTTTGTGGCATTGGTAGCTTCTCCCATCAGTAAGTGGGCTGTTGCATTCTGTGAACTGCAGCTTCTGAGTGGTCTTCAAAGGTAACCCCATAAAAAGTGTAGTACTTCAAACCAAAACTCGCCAGATTTTCCCACAAGTTCCATAATTGGTATGTTAGCTGAAGTTGGGCAAAAACTCCCCAAGCCATAGCTTCCATCTGCTTATCTGGCAATTGCCAGCAATCTAGGAGTACCTTCAGATTACAATGGAAGTGTTTCCCCATCAAGCATTAACCCTGGGAAGAATTTCCTAATTCCAACTTCAAAATAATGAGCATGTTAAGCTGCTGAAGCAGAGTCCATGAATGCTTTAAGTGAGCTTGCTTTACCACCCTTTATCATCATTTACCCCCCTTTATCACCATGGAATAGGCTTAAACATGAACACTTACCCATGTCTAGACAATTCACTGCTATTCTTCCTGGAGCACTGCAGATATGGATGTGTACAGTTTTATGGTTAGTTTGTCCTGTGAAAACATCCAGGAAATATATCTCATATTACAGCTTTGTGCAATGCATGAACTCCATTTATATGTCTTTATGTATTTATTAAATATAAGGGTCAAAACAAATAAGGACTCATCTGTTTTAATGAGTCTGCACTGGAGACAAATTCATTGTGTTCAGTCACACTTTGGCCAATAAAGAATATTCTATTCTGTTCTGTTCTGTTCTGTTCTACTCTACTCTACTCTACTCTACTCTACTCTACTCTACTCTACTCTACTCTACTCTACTCTACTCTACTCTACCCTTCTAATTACTGATAAGATTCTGAAGGAAAAGCAAAATAAAGAACCAGCAAAGTCTTTTGACCATCCTTTTGAACACTATGAAACTCAATATTCCAATGCTAGCTATTCCAAACACATGCTTTCTAACTAGTAATTGTGAAAATTATCACTTGGATCCATCAGAAGAGCAACAGGTTAAGAAGGACTCATCTGTACTGATACAGACATAAAAAGTCCCATGAAACGCCAGTGCATGTACCAGGAGTGCACTAAATTCAACTTGAGTCAGCCACTTTAATCCCTGCAATCACTGTTTTTTCATTTAGTGAACAAATTGCAATTGCATTTTGTTCTTAGATTTATAATGTAGATTTATAAAATACAAAGGAGAAAGACTGAACTGGAAAAAGACTGTTTTTCCAAGGCAGCATTCCAATTATATAGAATATTTCATTTTTAAGCTTTTTTTTTTTGTCTGTAACAATAAGCATTCAGAACATTCAGTGCACCCCATGACATTTCTAAAGATGGCACCTTTATGACATAATTTTTTCCCATTAAAGGTTTGGAAAGAGAAAGGGTACATAATGTTCCTCGGAGGTCTTTCCAAGACCATACTGCGCTGCTGGTGCTTCATTTTCTGTCCTAATTTCCTCCACTTTTGATTAGCAAGCTCATCCTAACTTTGGATCTTGTAGATGTGGGAGGATTACATTTGAAATGAAAAGAAGAAAATGTCATGCAATTGGCTGGTCTTGTACACTTTTTCCCAAATAAAATTTCCAAAAAGTCAAATCCCTAATCTGTCTTTAACATTCTGCCTGCTGTTGTCTGAGCAGAACTTGCTTGTGTTCTACAAACATTGCTTAAAACACCTTCCCTCATTCTGGAGATATCCAGATGTGTTAGGCTCACAGCTCTTAGGACTACGAGCCAACCTGGTCAATGTAACTCAATTGTCAAAGCTTGTAGATCTGCCCCAAAAAATAATCTGTTGGCAAGATATCCTTTTGAGACAGAGGTTGTTCTGATTGGTTTTCCAGGTAAATAAAATCAATAAATAAAGCAACAGACTTATTACATTCCATTAAGTCTCCCAGGAACTGACAATTCTCATGAACAATGGGGGCCCGTTTTAGGCTTCAGTCAATCAGTTGTATGCATATTTTCCAGAAGTAACTCTTAGTGTTTTGATTGGGAAGCACAAGGAAATACAAATGGGATTGACTCAGTAAAAAGCAAACAGTTCTTCAAACCTTGTCCAACATTGTCAAGGATGTTATATGCATCAACAACTAATGTTATTTGTGAGGCATTTTTATATGCAAGCTCAAAGCAGCAAGAAAGAATGATGTCAAAATCTGTTAAAAGACACTCCTCTTTCAACACTTAAATTTATATCAGATGTAAGGAATGTACCTGTGCCGTATTTGTGATATGATGCACTGCTGAAATTATTAATTGGACACAAACTAAACTGGACAGTTTTGGCCAAAAAACAACAAAAACTGATGTCTATTCACTATGCATTACATCCTCATAGTGATATTGATACATTATACTTGCCTCGCAGAAATGGAAGCAGAGGTTTACTTCAAGTCAAACAAATTATCAAAGAAGAAAAGCATGTGTTGGTAGCCAAGAATAAGCATTGATGCAAGTTAAAAACTAGAAGATACTAGATGTACAGGAAATAAAAACTGAATATCAGAATAATGTAATAACACAAATAGAATATTTGAGAGGAAAAGTATTATTACATGGTCAATTTCTACAAAAGATTGAGGAAAGTGGATAAAGATAAAACCTCACAATAGTTTACACCTCGAACATTAAAAAAAGAAACTTAAGGCTTGATTTTAGTTGCACAAGAACAAGCTGTTAGAACAAATGCAATCAAGGTCAGAACTGAAAAATCATCAAATGATTCAAAGTGCAGATTGTGGAAAGAAGCGGAAGAAACATCATATACTCAGCTTGTGGAAATTTGTTGTACAAATTGATTATAAAAAACTGACATAACAGTCACCAAAATGATTCACTGGAACATCTGTAAAAATGATCATGTACCAGTAATGAAAAATTGGTGGGAATGTAAAGTTGAAAAAGTAAGTGAATGAGCAGTTTAAAATATTTTGGGATTTCTGAAGATGATAAAGTTTTGGCTCATAGCACACCAGATATAACTGTGGTTGAAAACAAGAAAAAGTGTGGATAATTGACGTGGCAATAGCAGGGGATAATAAAATAGATGATAAAGAGTTGGAGAAGATCACAAAGTATCAAGATCTGGAAATTGAAATTGAAAGATTATAGTATAAACTGGTCATAATAGTTCCAGCATATTGGGTACCATACCAAAATATTAGAATTAGAATAGAGCTGGAAGGGACCTTGGAGGTCTTCTAGTCCAGCCCCCTGTCTCCTGCTTGAACAGGAGAACTTGTATGACTCTTAAAACTCTATGCATAGAGAATTTACAATTGTCAATTACAAAAAGCCACATTGTTTGAATCCACATATATATCATGCCAATGCATTATCCTAAGTTCTTGGGAAGAACTTGATGCATATGAAGGCTAACACTACTTAAAGAACTGGCAACTCTAATTTCACAATTTTGTGTGTATAATAATATTGATAATAAAAAATATGCGGCTACCTACATATAACCCTCAACTTGCAACCATTTGTTTTGTGACCGTTTGAAGTTATAATGGCACTGAAAAAAATGACTTTAACTAGTTTTCAGACTTGTGACCATTGCAGCATCCCCATGATGACATGATCAGAATTTGGGTGCTTCATAACTGGCATGTATTTATGACAGTTGCACTATCCCAGGGTCATGTGGTCACCATTTGTAACCTTTCCAACTCTCTTCCAACAAACAAAGCCAAACTGTCTTGTCATGAGATTGTGTGACTAATGGACAGTTGTGCTATCCCAGAAAAGGATGCAGCTCCTTTAAGGAATTGCAAGCAAATGTTAAATCAATTTCCTGGGACACTCAAATCTCCTTTTCCCTTTTTAACTCAACTAATGTACACCCTAGTGCAAGGGTCCCCAACCCCTGATCCGTGGACCAGTACCGGGCCGCGGCATGCCAGCAACCAGACTGTACAAACAAGCAAAGCCCCATCTGCAGGATGCAGGCAGCACACAAAACCACACCCCCTCCAGTCCGTGGAAAAACCTCTCTCCACATAACCAGTCCCTGGTGCCCAAAAGGTTGGGGACCTCTGCCCTAGTACCTGTCCCTTGGTATAGATTATTCGTTTTTATATTTATTATTTCAGATATTTTATTGGTAACACAATAAAATACTAAAACCATTTGAGCCCTGCAACACTATGAGTTCTGTTTCTGGACAAGCTAATTGGTTGAAGAGCTCACAACTCTACTGTCAGATGGATGGAAGTCATCAGACATGCTGACACAACATGTGAACCCATTCCAAATGGCTAACGTAAGTGTACATGCTGCCTCATTACTTAGCATCCTCTTTAGCTACAGTTGGCAGCTCTTTTGCGGTTAGGAGTAATCTGCAAATGCCATACATCATTTCAAGTTAGCGCTACCTGAAATGTGAAACCTACAAATAATTATGGTTTCAAATTCTGATTGTTAACAGGAGCTGCGAGCTGCTTTGTTGAACTTAATCCTGGAAGGGCCATGCCAATTAAGTAGCCAAGTAGGAGAAGAGGAAGGTGATGATGCAGATTTTTACATTAAGTAATCAGAATATTTATCATGGTATTTAGACATCATAAATACTGATCATCTTTCTGTGAAAAAATAGCTGAAACTTACTTTTATCAGAATCCTTTGTTAGATCCTGAAAGAAATGAAAGCCGTGACAAGCTCAAAGCAGTGAAGCTATTTTCCTTATGTTACAGTGATTTGGATAAAGCTTATAGAAATCAATGAATATGCACAAGAGGACAGTCATTCCATATTATCCTGATAGCTTATCTCACTGCAGTATTAAGTTAGTCCTCCTGCTGGAAATTCTAATCCTTTGTAGGAAATGAAACTGTATAAAAATTATATTATTAGGAAATTAATTGATAGTCTATCTGACTACCACTGGAACCAGCAAACACTGGCTCTGAGAATATGTAAATTTCCTACTTCTCCTTATCCCAAGTCAAAATAATGCATTTTGTTAGGTTGTATTCTGTATAAATAAAATTGATAGCAACCCCACCCAATGTACAATCTACAGAAGCCTCAGGTTTTTTGTTAGTAATCCAACAGAGAGGAAGCATTGAATGAAGAAATAACTTCCTAAGAACATATTGGGAAACCAGTGCATCTAAAAAAAAAGACAATAATTATATTTGTAAACTTGTATGTACACCTGAGATTCTATATTACCTTGTATGGTGCATTTGTTGGATTCCAAATATTCAGTGTATCTGTGGCCAGTTTCAAAAGCATAAATCCTAACAGTAGTTCTCCTAGAAAGTTTTGCATATACACCAATTGTACAAGCAGAGGGTTATTCATAACAATGATTGGAAGGTATAGTAGTCAGTAGGTCTCTGGCAAACAAAGCATCCACACCAGCACAGAGCAGCTCACTTTATAAAATATTCTAGCCTCACTTAGTTTACAGGAAAGAGATGCTGACTGTCAGGTATCCAAAGACAGCTTTTTTTTTTACAGTATCACACAGAGGCCTTTTGGAATATGTCAAGTCCTAGATGCCCTGTTAACCATGGCTCCTT